TCAAGAAGACCAAGGCACAATGTGAGGTGCACTGGCAAAGGTTATAAAAGGCAATAAAAGGGATTCCACAAGTATGTCAGAAGTAAGAGGAAGACCAAAGAAAATGTAGGTCCCTTAGTGAATGCAAAAGTCAGCTTACTTATTGATGATGTAGAAAAGGCTAAAGTATCAATGATCTTTTTTACTTCAGTCTTCATGAATAAAGTCATCTGTCAGATGGTGAGCACAGTTGATAGCAGAGAGGGAAGGAGATACACAGCCTGGAGTAGTGAAAGAATACTTTAGGGTTTACTTAAACTAGATGCTTTCAAGTTGTCAGCACCGGATGGGATGCACCCCACAGTACTGAAGAAATTGGTTGAGGTAATTTCAGAACCATGGGGTATACTTTTGAGAACTCATGGAGATCAGGCGAAGTCCTGGACAACAGTGTAATGAAGGGGAGGCAAATGGGTCATTGGCCCTAGGTGGCAACCCTGGGGGGTGGGGGAGTGGAGTGGGAGGCATCCAAAAACAGAAGCAACTGCGTTTCCAGTATCACTACCACTGTGCCAGTGTCAGTGCAGTGCACCCACTGATGCCGCCCATGGAGTTGCACAAGGGCGCTGTTGCACAAGCTGATTGAAAAAGGGCAAATATAGTCCCCATCTTTAAGACAGGGAAGAAAGAGGATCTGGAGAATTACAGATCAGTCAAGCTATTTTGAATCACCTGGGGTGATCAGGAACAGCCAGCATGGATTCACCAAGAGAAAGTCAACCTGACCAACCTGATTTCCTTCTATGAAGAAGTGACTGGCTCTTTTGATGATGGGAGAGCAGGAAGTACTTGTAGGAAGCAATTTTTTAATTTAGAAGCATTGGGGATTTCAGGATTGGGTCTGTAGTTGAAAGGTGTATGATTTCTATTATGGCACTTAGTGAAGTAGTGTGGAAGTGAAGGCAGAGTCCTGTGCATCCTGGCAGGGATGAAAGAATTGGATAAGATCATTGAACTAAGTGCGGATGGTAAGACCATGCTGTCCTGAGAAGAGAGCTCTGTCTAGTAAAGGAAAAGGATGAGGTGGATCAGGGAGGATGACAGCCTGTTGGTGAAGTAAAGGACTGAGCATTTTTTTAATTTTATTTTTTAATTATTATTGTTGGTTTGGACTCTCTAATGTTGCTGTGGTAGCTAGAAGGGTGGTCCTGAAGTCCTCTGAGGCCACCCAAAAGAAGTCCCAGTGCTGAAGGCTAAAAGCAGGGTAGACAAACACTTGACAGAGTAGATCCTGCCGTGAACAGGGGATTGGACTAGATCATAGGTATCAAAGATACAGATCACGGACCAGATTTGGCCTGTGGAGCCTCATAATCCAGCCCTTGGTGCTGCCTCTGGGTTCAGAGTGGACCAACATGCAGCACATAGCAAACACCAAACCAGCCCCACATGCAGGGCCCAGAGTATATACCATACATGGTGCCTGCTTCAGCCACTCTGGGACCCACACTGCACGCAGTGCCTCCCCCCACCCACGCTTAGCTACTCCGAGGTGAGTGCTGTGTGCACTATGGATCCTGGAATGGTCCTACATGGGTGCTGCATGCATTGGATCCAGCATGGGGGAAGGGGGTTGCAGCTCCATGGACTTTATCCAGTCCATGGGACTACCCACATGCCATTCATCCAGCCCATGGACCAGCTCTGTACCACTCATCCAGCCCATGGGGCCAGATGAGTTTGACAGCCCTGGACTGGATGATCTCTTGAGGTTCCTTCCACCTCTATTTTTATATGACTCTATGATTACATAGGGCTGTGGTTCCAGCCCATTAATGTGTGTTAGTTAGGTTCTAAAATAGTACCCCACATTGGTTTCAGTGGAGCCTGATTCTGATTTCACAATATCATGATCCTTAGAGAGGCAGGAAAATTAATTCAAACAAATGTTAAAAGTAGATTAATCAAGACTACATTGTACCCTAGCATGGACCCATTCAGAATTAAAGGGCCTTACTTTAGCTTAGTTTAGTTTACTTGGGAACAAATGTTGATTTCCCCCCTGTGCCCTAGAAGCACATCATGTGTCATACATTTTAAACTTATTGTAATAGGTAACTTGATCTGCTTTTTCAGCTTTTTTCTTATGATTAAAAGGGAAGTGACTCTCTCCTATCCAGATAGCAGCTCTCAGTAATCCAGTGTCAGCCTTCATGGCCTATACATTGCTATACATGGTCTGAAAACTCACCTTGTATACAAGTTCACTTTCAGGAACAATCTGAAAAGCATTTGTAAGTGGATTTGAATTTATTATGATAGGATATTGTACAGCTACTTCTGCACGAGATGGTGATAACTTTACACTGAACACATGAACCGAAGCATTGGCTGGAGAATTTTCTGCAATGTTGCCTGTAGCTGGTAAGTTTTCAAGCAACAGAGTGCCTCCTCCTGCAAATTTGAAAAGGAATGTGAAATTACTTCTGTGAGTAGTCAGCAGCATAAGAGCGTTTATCTTGTACTAAGCACTATCACTGCTGAACACCAATGAGCTGGTGCTCTTCCTACTTCAGCTGTAGTGAATTGTGGCATTACAGTGCTATAGATGCTCTGCAAATGACAGGGAAATCAAACCATTTATTTTATGCTTAAGTAATGCAGTACTTCCATTAAAAAGGATTGATGTTTAATGTAGTTTCATTATTTCACTGCTTACATTCATGCAATAGCTAGGAAACATAAGCTGTTTCCATTACCCAACCAATCACCACTGCAGCACCATCTATCACTTTTCCACATGAATCACAATAAAAATAAATTAAGTGAAACAAGAATGTGTGGTTAAAAAAAGTGATCCCAGTTTCTTTGTGAATTCTGCTCTTAACAGGTCATGTTTTCTTCCTTTCTCCTTTACCACTTTTTCCAACATGCCTTGTAAATTAAATCAAGAAAGGTAAGGCTAATTCTGCAACCTGCTAATGAGCACCACCTGGAAGGCTGAGTGCTCTCAACCCCTGGTAAGGTGAGTGCATTGTGATAGGTTGGTATTACCTTGTAAGCAATTTGGATCCACTACCTGGGTTAGGTTTTGGGGGAGATTGGGGGGCAGGGCAGGGGGTTGGTTTTTCCCCCTTAAAAGTTCATATACTTGGGTTCCAAGTTCATATTTCATCTCCTAATGAAGTGACCTGCAACCAGCAGCTGACTGAAATGTAGGACTGGAAAGGGCCCCCTTGGCCCTCAACTCCAGTAACAAATTTTCAGGCAAGTATTTATCCCAGGGATTCTCAATATCTTCTTCTCAATAAGGCCCCAGAAACTGCAAGAACACACTATGCTATGTCATAAATTAAAAGCAGGAGAGATGAGGATAGTGCCAATATCCTGCCACAGCAGTGCCAGGGGAATAGATAGTTGATATATGCTCATAAGATTCTCGCAAGGAGCCCCTACCCCTGCTACTAGAAGTGAGTGAGCACAGTGCTACAGGGAGGCTAGCTGTGAAGTGGTAAGCCTGTTGACAGGAGAGACAGGCAGCAGGTGTAGATAGTAAAGAGGCAGGCCAGGGCAATAAGCTTGTTAATTAGAAAGAAAAAGAAACCTGGCCCTGAAGACTACAAGTCTGGTGACTGGAAGATAGGGAAGGAAGGGCTATGAAAACCTTGCCCAGTGCTGGCCCTAATGGAAGGAAGAAGAATAGCTGAGTACTGCTTAGAGGTAAGTGCTTTTGCATTTGAGTTGTTTATGTCCTAAGACCAGGAAACCTGTTAGTGAGTGCCACATGTGCCTTGGCACTTGATCTTCTGTAGATGTGTCTAACGGCTCTTGATATAACAGCATGGGTTATTCTGCAGAGACTCCTGCTTTTAGCTTTGGAGGTCCTTGGTGCTGGCCAAAATAGAGGCAGCCACCACAGGCCATCTATGGCCATGTAAGGATTGGCAATCTGGAAGGGCCCAATGTGAGCCCCTGGTTAGTAGACAGTCAGCAGACAGCAGAATTTCAGGTTATATTTTTGCCTTTATTTCCCCCTTCTTTTCCCCTTCTCCATGTCATAAAAATCTATAGGTCCTTAAGATTGTGGAGAAGAGTCCAGGAAATCAATTGAAAAAGATTGGTAGAGTGGAAAGGAACAAGCAGTGGGACTACAAAGCCATGTTTGTTCAGAATATTTACTATGCCCAGCAACACTG